ACATGCGTGTGTACACGTGCACCCCTACGTGCAAAAACTAGGCTGTGCACACCACACAGCTGAAACAGGAAAGAGATTTTCTTTCTCTAGGCTTCGTCTTTAGCCCAGGTAGGGACTCAGTCGTTACCAAGTGCCGCATGCTCCTTCAGGCGGTGTCTCCTAACGTGTCAACATCTGCAGTCCGATGGCAGTGGACAGCAATTGAATCGTAAGTTCCTCTCGGTAAATCTCTTCTGTCTCCTAGATATGCAGTGCAATCACCCTCCTTTTTTGAGTTCCGTAATTATGGATTCAGCCAGCATGGCTTCATAATATTAAAAAGAAGTTACGTCTCTACTGAATGTGTTTAGCACACTGAATAATAGAACATAAAAATACTTTTCAGTGGGCCTCACCCTTCTTAATGCTGCAACCCTTTGATACAGTTCCTCATGTTGTGGTGACCCCCAACCGTATTATTTTCATTGCTACTTCATAACTGTAATTTTGCTACTGTTATGAATCATAATGTAAATTTTTTTGGAGATATAGGTTTGCCATAGGGGTCATGATTCACAGATTGAGAATCACTGGCCTATGGGCCAGTGTAAAAGACACATGTAAATTCTGCACCATTTTACAGAAGAAACTGTTCTCTCTATCTCTTGACAGGTATTCTAGTCTTAGCTGTAAGCCTGACACAGCTTAACGACACCTGAGAAGGGAGTCTCATTTGAAGAATTGCTCAGATCTGTTTGGCCTATGGGCAGGTCTGTGGGGCCTTGTCTTGATTGTTAATTGATAGAGGAGGGCCCAGGTGGCTGTGGGCATCAGCCTTTTCTAGGCTGGTGGAAAAAGCAGGGTAAGCCTGGGAGTGAGTCAGCAAGCAGCCTTCCTCTGTGGTTTCGGTTTCAGCCCCCTGCCTTAAATTTCTGCCCTAACTTCCCTCCAGGATGGACTGTGACCTGGAAGTGTAAGCTGAAACCTACCGGATCCTCTCCTAAGATGTTTTGGTCATGGTGTTTGTCACAGAAGGAAAATGAAACTAGCACGCAGGCTGTTTTGTAGCCCAGGCTGGCCTTGGGGTCTGTATTGTCCGCCACCCCCTCACAGTGCCACTAACCTGTTCTACGTGATGCTGGCATAGAACTCGGGGCTTCACTCATGCTAGGTAAACGTTCTGCTAAGTGAGCCACATCTCTAGCCCACATTTTATCCACTCTGAAAGCAGTTTTACTACATTCACGTCTCCTCATCCTCAAAGAAACCATTTACCCATAAGCAACATGCCCCGGCCTCGCTGCTACTTTGCTACTCTTCCATTGCCAGAAACCGTCAACAGTCTGACTGTCCACCCACATGGACTTTTCCTATAAATAGAGTTGTATTTACATCTGTTGCCTTCCATTTATCAACATGCTTTCAAGGTTCATTCATATGGTAGCGTCGATAGTCTTCCATTGCTCTTTAAGGCTGAACACGTCCCATTTTAATGGATGTACCACATTTTGTTTATCCCATCCATCTGCTGGTAGATCTTGGGCTTTTCACTACTTTTTAAAAATATATACTTCTGTGTTGTATATATATTACTTCCAGCCACCAGACAAATTCTTTTTGTCATGAGGTAGAACACAAGCAATTAAAGTTTACCTTTGGGTAGGTAAAGATATATCATCCCAATAGTCATAGAATTAATATATTCATAATTTGGAAGAGAAAACAATGGAGAAGTTGTATCTGTGGAAAAGTTCTATGGGTCACCTCTTCCTGAGCACACCAGGTCATAAAGATTCCTATGGGAGGGGTGTTCTCCTCCTATCAGGACAGAAAACTAACCCTTATCACCAGAGACTGGCAATTGGGGCTGCAGTGGGCCTGAATAAATAAACCTGCAAGTCGATCTTATCTCCTGCCCACTTCACGTCCAGTCTTTTGATGACTCCCCTAGAATCTACATCCCTGGTCACAGATCTCTCTGTTCTGCTGTTGCTTTAGAAATTTACTCCCCCGTTTTGCTATAAACAGTATAAAAGCATGCCTCTTTGGTCTCTATGGACTTTACTCTCTTGTGATGGTTTCAGCCATAAAACTTAAAAGTTGTATGCTTTCTCTTACTTGTTTTGTCTCTTAGATTCAGTCAAAGAACTAAGGGAATGGGAAAAGATGGGGTCTCTTCTTGCTCCATATATATATATATATGTATATATATATATATATATACACACACACACACACATATATACACACATACACACACATATATTATCAGCATTCTGTACAAAAATAAAAATAAAAAAATAGTATCTCTTTTTCCTGTTGTGAATTTTTTGAGATAGTCTAATATAGTGTCGGATGGCCTCAAGCTTGACATGGGGTGGAGGACCTTAGTCCTGATCCCTCGCCTCTGCCTCTCAAGGGCTGGGATTCCAGACTGTCACCAGTCCACTTTCTGCGGGGCTGGGGATGGAACTCGGAGCTCCATACAGGCCAGGCAAGCTTTCCACCACATTCTCAGCTGCCAGTAGCGTCATTTTGAGTTCCGATGCTAACATGCGGTTTCTGATGATTTGAGAAAGTACCGATTCCTCAGAGGAAACCTGTTCTAAGCCTTTCCTGTGTTCCTGTGCTCCACTCGGAATCTGAAGAGGGACACTTGTCTCAGATGCCAACAGCTCAACTTGCTCCCTGGCTCGCCAGCATCAGCAGCTCTTCCCCTCGAGAAGCAGGAACGGGAGAGTAAGACAAGCCTCTCTTCCCCAGTTGGTTTCTCTCATTAAGACGGTGGATGGGTTTCAATTACAATGAGCTCTTGGGCTGTTGGAAGCTTGGGCGCTCGGAGGAGGGTGAGTCACTGGTGCTCCTGTGAATGCCCAAGGCTGTTGTTTGGCAGTGGACTCTGTTTGCATCTGGGAGGGGGGTCTGAGAGTGGGCAGCAGGAGGTGTCATTGAAAATGAATGTGCTCTGTATGTGATCCAAGATCATTCCCCTGCCTCCTCCCTCCCCCACGCCTGGACTCACAGAGAAGAACCATGTGGGAACAAGGGAGGGCACGTCCTCTCCAGACCCAGACCGCAGTCAGTGATGCTCTGGGAGGTGGCAGCTATGTGCAGCTTCTTGAGCTAAACTCTGGGGTAGGAGAGGAGGCTGAGATCAAAAGGCTTCTGTCCAGTTAGACCAGCCATGTTGCCTGGTCAATAGTTTTGGCTCACAGCTGTGGTGGAGCTGGCCAGGAAGGGCTCCTCCAGGCTGTTCTTGGCTGCCAGGAATAGTTGCCCTGCTGTCTCCGGAACATCCAAGGAGAGTCAGAGGAAGCTGAGATTATCTCTGAAAAACTCCCAATTGAGCCTTTGTGTCTGAAATCAACTTGAGATCTGCAAGACTGAGTCAAGTCCTTGCTGCTTTTCATAGTAGCCCCGGGGCCATGTCGTTCTCTGGTGGGATTGCTCGCGGTTGTAACATGGGATAGAAAGTTCAAGATTGATCGACTCAGCCAGTGCTTATAGCAGGGCAGAGCTGGGCTCTGATGTTCTCGGGATCATCCTGCTGGATCAGAGATCTTCTGAGTATCCACAGCCTATTTAGTGTTCGACTGGTTGCTTAGATTGGAACCTTCTGGCAAATAAGATATTCTACACAGACCCTTTGGCTTCCAGATACTGAAGCAGTGGACCTTAAGGAATAGGAATTTCCCCAGGAGTCTCACTCTGGGAAAAGAGGCTGAAAGCCTGCTGTCAGCCAGGTGAGGAGCTTGTCTCCCAGGAGGATTTCGCACAGCGCCGACAACTTGTTAGACCACCTTGCCTGAGAGACTGGAGCCCGACAGTGATGGGTCAGTGATGGATGGGACCACATCTTGGCCAGGACAGCTTAGTTATGCAGGCTTTCTGACCTCTGTTTAAACAGAAACCTCACATGAGAACTCTGAAGATGGACTTTGGGGACAGTGTTACTGGGTCTCATTATTCTTCCTCTTTCCAGTGTGACTGCACTGAATAAATCTTTTTCTGCTTTTATTCTTATTCATGTCTTTAATTGGCATATGTAAGTAGAGGACCCTGAGTCTAACTCGCTGGGGCTCCCAAGGCCCAGGCTGTGGCCCTGACAACTCAGGGAACAGGATCTCTAACCAAATGGGAAGGCGTTAGAACATGGGCTCCTTAGAGGTATGAGCTCCAAATGACATTTTGGAGCTCATAGAAAGCGCAGTGAGTGGAGTAGAGACCATTAGAGTTAGCTCAAGATCACATTCCTGAGAAAAGGAGGGAAACATGCCTCATGGTCAGGCCTGAGGCCGAAGGTCAAGTTTAAAGAGCCTAGACTTGGAGGGCAGCAGTTAGGTATGGGAAGGAGGGAGAGAAGAAAGAGGGAAAGGGGAAGGAGAGAGAAGGAGACAGGGAGAGTGAAAAAAGGCGAGAGAAAAGAGGCATATACAAAGACACAAACACAGAGAGACAGAGGAGAGACAGAGAGTGGAAAGACTCAAAAGCACATGCAGAGACACATCCAGGGGAGAGAGAGGAGATAGACTGACACGAATACAAATATAGAGAAGAGAGTGTGTACCTGTAAGCACATATGTGTGTACGTATGTGTGTCTGTGTGCATATAATGTGTACACATATCTGTGTGCATGTGTATCTGTGTTTGTATGTGTATATGGATGCACATGTGCTAGGTGTGTTTAGACATTTGGAGACAAAGTGTAGAGCATCCATCTATGCTGCTCCCGCTTGCTTTGGCTTACGCACCTAGAGGCTGATAGGTGGGTCTGGTTGTGTTGTTGGGTTGCTTGTGAACTTGCACCTCTCGACTGGTCCAGCCGGCTCTTCTCCCTTTCCTCCTTGGAGCTGCTGTTCTTCAAGGACTGTTTGGAGTGGAACCTCTAAGGTTGCATTGTGAACTTTCAAAGGCACTAAAATTAATGGAGCAGAGAGATCTACTGAGAGAGGTAAGAAGAATTACCAAGACCTTAATAATAAATGTGTGTCAACAGCACTCAGGAAACATTTTCTCCTTCAAGCCTCTGACTTTCTAGTTTCTGCTTTAGCCCTCAAGTGCAGCTACCTTCAACAGGCTGTAAATTCAAAGGCAGCTTACCGGACTAAATTGCACCTTTAGTTGTCGGTGGACTCTGGTGGAATTTGAGATGAGGTAGGAGGACGTCGGGGTCACTTTGTGGTGTGAAAGTTTCATGAAGCTGAAGATGAACTTGGGGTTTAGAGTCAGGAGTGCTGAGTTGGGAATGGGTTCTCATGGATGACCAGGACAGATGGATGCTATTGGTCCTCAGTTGTTCACCCACATTCCACGGTGTTCCTGGACATATTCCTGAAGCTCCTCATGTAAGAAGAGGGAAGGCTGGGAACGAGGCTCAATTGGTAGAATTCTTGCTTAGCATGCAGGAGCCCCTTAACTCAGTCGTCAGCACCCCTGGAAGTGGAGCATGCCTGTAAACTCAGCATGCAGGAAGTGGAGGTAGGAGGATCAGAAGTTCAAGGTTATCTTTGTCTGAGCAATGAGTTTGAGGCCAGCTTAGGCTATGTGAGACTTTGTCTTAAGAACAAAACAACACAACATAAAGAAAACAAACAAAATAACTCCTAGAACCAGGCCGCTCTTATAATCTAACCTGAGGCCGTCTTCCTAGAGCTAGTAGTACGGCCTCCTTAGACTGGAGGGTCTTGGGTGGAGTTCAAAGGCCAGGGGGACCTCAGGCTTTCATGGCTTCTTGGCCATATTAACACATGGATCTCAAGTTCCAGAGGTCTTGGGATTTAGTCTGTCCAATAAAGACCTTTTGAAAAATTTATCAATAAATTTAATCTGTGTGTCTGTATGAGTATGTCTATATTCATGTGTGTAGGTACAAGTTGTATGCCATCATATGTGTGTGGAGCTAAGAGGATGACGCCAGATGTTTGATCCTTGACTCAGACCTTATATGAGATGAGGTCTTTTCTGGTTCTTCACCCACCCCAGGCCAACTGGTCTGCTGGCTTCTGGGGATTCTCCTGTCTTGGCCTTAATCTTGACTGCACACAGGTTCTGAGGATCTAAACTTAAGTCCTCATGCTTGAATGGAAAGTACTTTTTACTCACTGATCAAACCATCTCTCTTCGACCTATCAATACATTTTAAAATTTACAATCATTTATTTAGTTATTGGGTGGCACACATGTATAGAGGTCAGAGGACAACTTTCAGGAGTTGAGTCACTTTCTACCATGTAAGTCTAAGGGATAGAACTCAGGTCCCCGGACTTGGCTGCAAGTGCCTTTACCCAGGAGTCAGTCATCTCCTTAGCCCATGTTAATGAATTATTAAGCATGATATTTAGAGACTTCTTCCTGTTCAAGAATAATCCTCAGGTTCACAGGAAAGAATCACACCCTTTGAAATCTCCCTCCCCAGTTTTGCAGCAAGGTTTCCTGCTGGGGGATGGGCTGAGGTCCCCTGCTTCAGCCTTGGCTCTTTGTTTTGTCCCCTACCTACCCTGATTTTCCCAGGGTCGTACAGCCCCTCTTCACTATGGACACAACATTTTCCTGCAAGATATTTTCTTGCAACCACCAACAGCCTTTTAGTCTTTGGGAACCTTATTTAAACAAATTTGCATTAATAGCTCTTGGGGCCCCTCATTTACATACGTGTTTGAAAGGGCAGTAGCTTGGGGAATGTGATTTAAAAAAGAGAGAGAGCTGGTGAATGCCTTGGCATGGCATGCTCTGTGGACATGCCTGGGACTGTTAAAAAGTAGAAATTTAACTTTAGTAATGCGCCCATGTGCACTTATGGAGTCTGAGAAAAGAATAAAGGCATTTATTACTGGAGGAGGGGTAAGGGAGACAGAGCGCTAATTAAGACCGTACAATGAACCGTATTCTGAGCTCCTACTGGATCCAGTCTGGTGATAGGATTGTACAGGCAAGATTGCTCAAACTTTCAATCCGGAAAAAAAACAAAAAAATAAAAACGTAGGCCTATGGGTCCAAACACAATTTTTGAAAGAACAAATGGCAGGTTGTGGAGATGGTTCAGTGGGTAAGGTGCTTGCTGTCTAAGTGTGAGGGTCTGGGTTTGGGTTCCCAGAGCCTGTATAAAAGCTGGAGGCCAAGAGAATTCCAGAATTCTCTTACAGACCTGTTAGTCTGAGGTGTGTCAGGGAACAAGAAACCTCATCCCTGTTAAGGACCAACACCTGAGGTTATCTTCAGACCTCCACACGCCATGAGTGCGCCTACACACATGAACACACAACCATCTCTCTCTCACACACAAAGATACAACCCCCAATGATGTTTATATTATTTAGGTAGCAGGCTGGGTCTGTGGCGCTTGTATAAGTCTTACTGAATATGAATGTATTCTGTTTTATGTCATGAATTCTGGGGTAATTATTGATTAAGTGTAGCTCATTCTAAGTAACTTATTTATTAATTATTGTTGTTGCATGTGTGTATTATTATTGAGAGAGCTCGAGAGAGAGAATGTGTGCACATGCCACGGTGTGTGTGGAGTTCAGAGAACAGCCCTCGGGAGTCGGGTCTCCCCTTCCACCTTGCTTGGAGGCAGGGTGTCTCTTGTTAATGTGCTGTGTACTCCCAGCTGAGTGGGGAAGGGTGCTTGATGCCAGACAACCAGATCACTGAATTTCAAGAGGAAAGGATTAGAGGATTGACTCCTGCGAGTTGTTCTGACTGTCATGCATGCTGAAGCACATGTGCACACATACATCCACATATAACATACATAAGGAAATGTAAAAAAAAAAGTCTGGTCTATTACAGCATCTCTTAGCTGCTCTTTGTAGGGATAGATCATCTTAAAACCTTTTTCTGTTTTTTGAGACAAGGTTTCTCTGTGTAACCCTGGCTGTCCTGGAACTCACTTTGTAGACCACGCTGGCCTCAGACTCAGAGATCTCCCTGCCTCTGCCTTCTGAGTTCTGGGAATAGTCAGCTTATTTTTTTCTAGTTTGTGTGTATGTGTGTGATGTGTATGTATATGTGTGTGGGTATATATATGATATATCTGTGGAATGTGTGTGTGTGTATGTGTGTGTGTGTGTGTGTGTGTGTGTGCAGTACTGATAGAAGCCAGAAGGTGTCAGATTCCTTAAAACTAGAGTTTCAGATGATTGTGAGCCACCTGGCATGGGTGCTTGGAACTGAACTTGGGTCCCTTGAAAGAGCAGCAAGGGCTCTTAACCACTGAACTCTCTCTCTCTCTGGCCCCAGATCCACCATCTTGAATTGTGACCAACAGGGACCGTGGAGAGTTTTCCTTGTAACACTCCTCAGTGTGCTATATATAAACAAGCCTGTGAGAGCGGTATATGAGCTTGAGGGTGGGACCCTGGCATGGTAAGTGTCAGAATGTGCTTAATATCTTCCATATTAGCTTGACTCACTCTCGCTAGGATAAAAATACTTTTCTTCTATTTTGTACACATTGTCATGTCAGAGTAAAATAGTATACTGTAGTTACAGTTCCTTTTCTGGTTCAATGTTGTACTTTCCCTGCTAGTTATGATTATTTTTTATGGACATGTATATCTGTAAATAACAAATCCCTAGTTCTCTATCGGAGTTATAAAACACCCCTAAACCCATTTGAAATGGCCAGGTAGCTTATCAGTCATCCTAGCCCTCTCTTTTTTTCTTCTAAAAAATAAAAGGAAAAAAGAAGAAAAATAGTCTTTTTTTTTTCCTTTTCTAGAACTTTCTATGTCTGTATTTAGCCCCTCCTGAACTGTACTGAAATTTCTCTTCAGCACCATCTTTGGAATTCTGAGCCTGGTCTCTTAAAGGTCTTGTCTCTGTCGGTTGAGGTGCTATAACAAAATGCCACAGGCCAATCAATTTATCAAAACAAAGTTGACTGTCCATGGTCAAGTCCAATTGACAAATCTTGCATGCCTGAAGACGGCCATTTTCTAATCCATGGATCTTTCAATGTCTTCACTTAAAAAAGAACAAAAGGGCAAAGGAGCCTCTCAAAACCTTTCTCATAAAGCCACGCCCTACGCATCTCCTGTGCTGTCTGCCCACAGTGCTTGAGCAGAGACATAAAGAGGCAGGTTTTTAGATGCCAGCAGATTGAGCTTTGCTCATCAGTCAGCAATGAATTCTTTAATTTCTGTGATCTTCAGGTTGATGTCCCAGAGTGGAAAGCAAGTGACCCCTGGAGAGACAAGGTCACAGGGAAAGTGCCTCCCTCCCGTCCTCCACCCTTCCTTCTGCTCGCATTCCAAACAGCACATTTCCATCCTTTCTTTTCACGTTTTCATGTGTGTTGTTCCTGAGTGTGTATGGATGACGTCTACACACATGTGTGGATACGTGTACATGTGTGTGTGTGTGCGTGCATGTGGTGGACTAAGGCTGATGTCAGAGAATCATTCTTAATGGCTTGTCCACCTTATCCATAGAGGTCGGGTCTCTTTCATAAACCCAGAGCTCGCCAATATGGCTAGTCTCTCTAGCCAGCCTGCTCTGGGGATCCCTTCCTTTGCCCAACTTTCCAGACAGGAATTACAGTCTGGCTGCCATGCTCACTTGGCGTTTTGTGGGTTTCTGGGAGTCCAAACTCCGGTCTTCACATTTGTGCAGCAGGCACTTCCGTCGCTAAGCTATTCCCCAAGTTCCCATTTTAATCTTCAAATTGTAAATTTTCATGAGCCATTACATTCTGCCCGTTAGTACCCAGTGTCACAGTTAAGTGATTCCATCTTGCCGGCAAGGAACATTTTGATACTTAGGTCAGACAATGGCTTTTCGATGTTGAGCTTAAATAGTCTTTTTCCAGGTACTTTGTACATTCATTCTTTGGCCAACTTAATGACAGCAACAACGACAGATTTATTGGGCATTTGCCACGTGCCAGGTCCTATTCTAAGTGCATAACAAGTATTAATTCATTTAATCCTGCACAACGTGACGAGGCGGGCAGTATTAGTATTCCCAATTACAGCTGAAACAGCGGGTCTGAAAGGCCCGGAGTTCTGCAGCCGGGAATGGTGACATTCAGACTTCAGTCTTTGGATTAGTTACCTGTCTAGTGGCTAGACGGAAACAACCTGAGCAGGAAGGGTTCGTGTTGGCTGACACTGGGAAGGAAGGCATGGTGGCAGGAGCGTGGCAGCTGTCATAACGTCTACAGGGGAGAGGAAGAGAGAGGTGGATTCTGGGGCTCAACTCTCACTTCCCTCTCTGAACTTCTTAATGTGCGTGTGGTTTACACATGTGCATATGTGAATGTGTAGACCAGTGGTCTACGTCTGACGTCACCCCTGGGTATTCTCGGTCTTTATTTTTGAGGAAGGTCCTGTGCTGAACCTAGAGCTCCTGTCAATAGCGTGGCCGGCTAGTGAGGCCCTGGTATCTGTTTTTCTCCCGTGCTGGGATTACAGACTCTGTCTAATACAAGCAGCTTTTCCATGGCTGCCGAGGCTATAAACTCAGTTCCTCATGTGTGCAGCAAGCACTTTGCCCAGTCCGGTGCTTTCTCCTCTGTGTTCAGTCTGGGACTGCAGCCATGTAGAACAGCCCACGCAGTGTGCAACTTCTGTCTCCATTACCTTCATCTAGGAGCCCCTTCACAGACCTGCCCAGAGTCTTAACTACTAGGTGACCCTGGATTTTGTCAAGCTGACAATATTAAACACCACAGTCTAGAAATTAAGTATGGATTGTCTGCTGACATGAAATCTTGTGGCGATGGCTTCTGCGTGGCTTCCTTGGGGAAGCCCCAGACCCAGGCAGGCCTCCCAGGTGGAGATGTTAAGCATCGTAGAACCTGTGTCTAGAGCAGGGCAAGGATGAGGTGTGGATGGGACAGGCTCGAGCTGGTGCTTTGCTCCCTGGGGGAGAGACTCAGGGAGGCATCGCAGGCCTTCTGGCTATCCTTAAGAGCATCCCAGACAGGCCTGGGGGAAAGCGAGGATGGGCCTGTGCAAGTAACCTCAAGGACAGCCATGCTGCTCCACCTCAGTGGCCATGCTGGGTTCCCAGCAGGCCTCATTTAAACAGGCTGGCTTATGATAGCCGGGGCAGGCTCAGTGGATTGTGCGGGCAGCCAGGGATGCTGGGGGGCAGGTGTCCGCCTCTGAGTGTACAGTCATGCGGATCCAAGGACCCAGGCTGATATGAATGGAAAGCCTGGTGTTCACTTCCAATAAAGCCGACTGTCTGTTACCAGAACATTCCTGACTGGCCGTCCCAGGCTCATCAATTCAAATAACTAGCGAGAGGGAGAGCAGGGTGTGGATTCCCATCAGAGCTTGCTCTCTTTTGAGCAGGCAGAGTCAGGGAACAGCTTGGGAAAAGCAGACACTTTTCTAAGGAGTGAGCCTTCTAGGAACTGGCCAGGACACAGGAGGTTTCGGGGAAAGTCAGGGGCAGGGTGGAGGGGGACAGGACCCATACTATCTGACACTAGCTTCTTGGAGATCTCATCCTCCCATCCCTGCTTACAGTCCTAGAGGAGTGAGTTGAAAGCCATAGATGTTAAGAAATTTGTCCGAGGGGATATCGTGCATCTGTCTCCACTGCTCCTGATCTAATCCTGGCTTCTCTCCCAACTCCCAACCTGGCTGTTTCTCTAGCTCATTGCTTTGAGGTCCATGTTTCACAAGATACCTACTAGATGCTGTCTCCAAGGGTCACAGAGATAAACTAGTCTCACGACCTTGCTTGGTATCCTGTGAAGAAGCTAAAGGTTTTCCTGAAGCACAGCAGAGGGGGACCTGGGCGTCCTTACAAGGATAGAGTGACAGGTCATGCATTGTCAGTGCTTCCTCTGATCTACTGCTCCTGCGAACTGTTGAGGAACCTTCAGCTTGGTCATTTACCATATCGAGACCCTCTTCTGGGACAGGGAACGCGGCTTTGTTGGCAGATGTGTGCCTAGCATGCACGAAGTCCTGACTTCTGTCCCTAGCACATGACTGGATATGGTAATGCGCATGGCAGCCCAGTGCCTGGAAGGCAGGAAGGAGGATCAGAAGTTCAAGACCATTATCACCTACAGAGTGAGACTGTGACCAGCCGGGGCCGCATGAAGCCCTGCCTCAAAAAAAAAAAAAAAAAAAAAAAAGGCAGGAACTTCTAACTGCCCCCCCCCCCCAAACCCCACGTAACCTTCTTCTGGGCTTTTTGTTAGCATCAACAGAAGGTGATTCTGGGTAAGAGAGCACAAAACTTGAGCGCCCTTCTTCATGCGTGTGTAGCAAGCCCTCTCACCCACTGAGACATCTCCCTCACCTCTGCCAGGTTGTTGAGTTTAGAGGCTAATGACCAGTTCTGCAAGGTTTTTCTTTCTTTTTTTCTTCCCTCATTCTGAAGTAGAATGAAGGACTCCTGGATTAGACAGAGGAGTCTGGAATCATTTCCTCAGGCTTCATATGTGAAGACTCCAGTCTCACAGATGAGAAAGCTGAGGTGGAAGAGACATGAGCTGCTCAAGGTTAACTCACCTGTGCCACTTTGTAAACTAGGGAAGTAGAAAAAAACACTACGAAATCCTCCACCAGCCCTTAGCCACCATGGAAATGCTGACTGGGTAAATCCTGAGCCCCCTGGCATGATTTGTGGCTCTCCCTGGCCTCCCTCAGACAATGCTCAGGGAGGTTTTAATGACCTGCCTACCAGGCATTTCAGAATCATTCATTTACGAGAAGGCCAAGGTGCTCAGACTATAACTCCAAAGCTAATGTCTTTCCTGACTCTGGCAGCAGGAGAGCCAACGAGGGGAAGGAAGAGGGTGGTATCAGTCTTTGATTGCTGTCCTTTCGACCTCATGCTTCAGAAAGATGGACTCGGGATGGCTTTTTACACCTGCTTCAAAATGTTATTTCAGAGTGGGGAGTGAAGGAGCTTGACATACGCCAGTGCATCTGGCTGCAAAATCACTCCCCCGAGTTCCTGTGTTCTTGATCCTGAGGTCCGGCTCCTGCTGGGAAATAGTCGTGTGTGATGCTGAGCTGCAGGTGGAGGTGTGGGCAGGCATCGCCTCAGTGAGCCCTCTGTCTCTCTGGTCATGAGGAAGCTGAAGGATTAGGGAGGAGAATACAAGCTGGGAAAATGGGCAAAGGAAGTCGCGATTAAAATAAGACATGAAGTGCATTGGGAGCAAATCAAATGTTTTCTTCCTGGTCAACGGGATTAAGAATATACAGCGAAAACAAATAGATTTACTGGGCTGGGCTGGTGAACCCTATCTTGTGGTACACCAGGAAATGGCTTTGTTCAGGAGGAACAGAGTGCTCCAAGGGGAAATTGGACTTAATGCTTGTCTTCCTATGTTTTAGTTGACTAACTGCTTAGTATACACCTGCAAAACCAGAAAGGGAGAAGCCTGAGGCTTAACATTTTGTTTACCAAGTAACTTGAACTATGAATGTCTTCAGTGTGTGATCCAGCCTTTATTAAGAGCCTATTTTTTTCTCTAACATTTATGGCAATGTGTGGATGTGCTCCATGGTACTGTGACTTCTAACAAGTCACAGAAATGGACAAACAACCTCCCTCCTTCCCTCTTCTTAGTTCAGAGTTGGTTTCTAGTTTTGTTTTGTTTTTGTTTTTTTTTTCCAGGACTCCAGCTGTGTTGGTAGACTTCTTTTCCTCTGTGACAAAATATCCAAGCAATCCAGTGTGAAAGAAGAAAGCTTTTTTGACTCATGGCTTCAGAGGCTTCAGGCCATACTCGGTCAGGTGGTTTCATACCTCTGGGCCAGTGGTGAGGCAGGATGCCATGGTAGAAGGGACCCATAGAGTTATGCTGCTCACCCCCTGATAGGCAGGAAGGAGCAGGGAGGTGGGGTGGGGTAGGTGAAGAAGAGACTGATGAATCCATTAGTAAAGTTAAGGCCCTTGTGAACCAGTCACTTCTCAGTAACAGCATCAGCTGTTAATATGACTTTAACATTCTTCACACTCAAACTATTAAAAAGAACGTAGTTCATCTCTACCATAAACTCATAATAAATCCTCCTTCCAGAGAACCAACCCTTAGAGTGTTTCATTTGTGCTACTCGTCATTGTATTGCATCATATGTAGTTGAGCACTCGAGTGGGTGTGAAATTTCAGAATGATCTAATGATGGGGATTTGCCAGAGAGTGGTAACTATGACAATAATAATTGTATGCAACTATTTTAACAAGACACCCCTCCCCCTCCTTGATGAAGACTCATGGCCACCCAGCTAGCCTGTAGGTTTCTGCCTCTCTTGCAGCTAGTAGTTGATCATGGAATATAATAGAGTGCTTGGGAAAAGAAGTCCTTATCATTCTTAAAAGAAAGTTACCTGGGCAGGGAAGATGGTGCAGTTGGTAGAGTGTTGTGTAAGTACAATTTTCTGAGTTTGAGACCTAGAACTTACTTTAAAAAGCTGGGTTTATTAGCAAGTACTTGTAATCCCAACACTGAGAAGGTGGAGACAGGAGAATCCTTGGGCTTTCCTGAACAGCTAGCTTAGCTTATTTAGTAATTTCCAGGGTTTGAGAGACCCTGTTTCAAAAAACTAAAATGAAGAGTGCCTGAGGGACTCCAGCTAAGATTGACTTCTGTTTACAACCTCTGGCACCCTTCCTTCAAGGGGGGGTGGGATGGAGAGATGAGGAAGGGGAGAGACAGAGAGGGGGAGAGAGGGAAAGAGAGAAGGAGGGAGGGAAGGAGAGAGACTTTCCTTTTCCTTGGGCAGATGGGATAATGGAAGAAGAGAAAGACAACACTGACTGTAGACTGGAGTCAACATTTCTCCCAATCCGTTCATCTGTGTATTAATGGTTGGTGAGAGAGAAATTTTATTTATTTCTTTAGGTATGCTTATATGTGTAAGAGTGTATGTATATGAGTGGGTATATGTCTAATAAAGGACAACCTTAGTTGTTTCTTAGGTGTTGTTCAACTTGTGTTTTTCGAGACAGGGTCGCAAACTAGACTAGGTTTACTATTGCTCACCAACTAGACTAGGTTTACTGATGAGGGAGCCCCAGGAATGCTCTTATCTTTGCCTCCTCAGCAATGGGCTTATAAACACACACCACTACAACTGGATTATACTTATCATTTTAAATGTGAATTCTGGGAGGTTGAATTTATATTCTCCTCCTCAGCTTGTACTGCCGAGGACTTTGCTCAGTTTTCCACTGTGATTTTAGTCTAATTGCAGCAGCTTGCTTGACATCCAAACCAGCAGATGAGTGAAACAGTTTATACTTCTTCGCCTTGTCTTGTTGTTGTAAAGATGCCCCCAAACTCCAGTGTGGGTATGAGGTTCTGCCCTTTCTGCCTCCCAGAGAAGCAGGATGGTCTCCTCCCCTTTGATCTCGAGATCTGATGGGTCACAGTGTTTATTATAAAAGAACAAGAGAGGAGGAAGTGGAGGGAAGGAAGTACCTCTGAGCAAAGAGGGATTTCATCAGGCTAGAAAGGATACGGGGGCACAGAGGAGGGGGAGAAAGGAAATACAGGGCAGCCCACAACAGCTGGCACTTAGCCTGGAAGGGTGTATGTTGTCTGAGCAGATCAGTCTGAATGGAGCTGGCAGGAGAGATCAGAAACAGGAATGTTACACAAGTACCTTGTGGAACTGGGTCACACACTGAAGGGGCAATCAGGCCATGACATGACTGTCAGAGCTTTGATGAAAAGAACCCACTATGGCTGACTACTCTCACACCCATCAACACTCTCTTGTTTTTTTGAGGCAGAGTGTCATGTAGCCCAGGGTGGCATCCAATTCTTTGGGTAGCTAAGGATAGCCTTGAACTCCTGAACCTCCTGCCTCCACTTCTCAAGTGCTGGGATCACAAGTATATATCACTATATCCTGTTATGCAGTTCTGGGGATGGAACCCAGGGCTACATATATGCTTGGGAAGCACCCTACCAACTAAGCTACATTCTCAGTCCTGGGGTCTCTTTTATAAGGACACTGGTCCCATTGATTTATCCAATCACCTCCAAACAGTGCTGTCTTCATTCTGTTTTCTTCTTAATTAAAAAAATATTCATTGACAGTTTCATATATGTGTATGATGAAGGTTGGTCATTGTCACTTTCCAGTACCCTCTCTTATCTTCTTCCACTTCCTCAACAAACTTTCTTCTTAACTTGTCCCCCTCCTACTTTCATGTTTGCTTTGTTATATTTAGGTATAGCCCATTAAGTTTAATCATGGTTGATTGCATGAACGTGGGTGTGGGGTTATTTTTGGAACATAGGCAACTTACTAGTGACTACACCAGAGGAAAAAAAAATGACTCTTTAGTAACTGTCAATAGCTTCCCAATAAGAGGTGTGGCCTCACCTGATGTGAATGTTTTATTACCAGTGGTTGATAAAGAAGCTGCTTTGGCCTATGGCAGGGCAGAATATAACTAGGTGGGAAAACTAAACTGAATGCAGGGAGAAAAAAAAAGGCAGGGTTAGGCAGACACCATGTAGGCACCCAAGAAGCAAGATGTGAGGTAGCAAAGCATGAGCCTCATGGTAAAATGTAAAATAATAAAAATGGGTTAATTTAAGATGTAAGAGTTAGTGACTAAGAAGCCTGAGCCAATAGGCCAAAGAATATGTAATTAATATTAAGCCTGAGAGAAGTTATTTTAGAATTCTATAGAAGTGACTTTAGGAACAGGTGGGTGTAGGGGTCCAGGGGTACTGGCACAATGGGGAATATTTATAGCTACACTCACCCTTAGCCACTCTCCTACCCATGACAGAACTCTGGTGCAACCCCACTTTCTAATACTAACTCTTTGATGATTCTCTCCTAATATGTGAATTTTTGGGTGACTCAAACATTTGTATTCTAGTATAGACACAAACTTAAAGTAAGCAGGTTGAACCCCAGAGTCACCACAACATGAGGATGAAGGCCAGGCTTCCTGGTCATGTTTCCATCTGATTCTGCATCTTGATCAGAGGCAGGCACCAAGCTCTCCATATATGTATGCTCTAAGTGGTACAGCATAGGGTTGGGCACTGTGATGGTTATTATTGATTGTCAACCTGACAGGATCTCCAATTACTGTGGGACAATGGTCTTGTACCCTGTAAAGATTTGTCACTTGTATTGGTTTAATAAAACACTAATTGGTGTATAGTATAGTATAGGCGGGTTGACCAGAATAGGAGAATTCTGGGAAGAGGAAAGGCTCAATCTACAGTCGTCACCCAGACACAGCGGAAGCAAGATGAGAATACCTCTCTAATAAAAGGTACAAAGCCACGTGACTAACATGGACAAGAATTATGGGTTAATTTAAGATGTAAGAGTTAGTTAATAAGAAGCCTGAGCTTATAGGCCAAACAGTTTATAATTAATTGATGGAGGTGGGTCTTGTATCTTATCTGTTGATTTCATTGGTTAATAATAAAGAAACTGCCTCGGCCCTCATAGGACAGAAAATTAGGTAGGCGGAGTAGACAGAGGAGAATGCTGGGAAAAAGAAGCTGAGTTGAAGAGTCGCCATGATGCTCCCACTCCAGACAGACGCAGGTTAAGATCCTCTCTGGTAAGCCAGCTCATGGGCTACACAGAATATTAGAAATGGGTTAGAACAATATGTAAGAGCTAGCCAATAAGAAACTGGACCTAGCCAGGCCAGGCAGTGTTTGAAAGAATACAGTTTCCGTGTAATTATTTCTGGGTATAAACTAGCCATGCGGGCGGCCGGGTGCCGGGGACGCAGCCCTGCCGCTCCTATTTCAACAATTAATGTAGGCCCCTGTGTGTTCCTTTGGGATTGAATGGCTGCAGGACCTGGTGGGACAGAAACCTCCAATCACTTAGAAGATGAACCTCTGGGCACGTCTTTGAGAAAGTTTCTAAATTGTGTTAATTGAGGGGGGCAGACTCCCCCTAACTGTGGGCAGCACCTTCCACATGACAGAGTCTTGGATTGAATAGGAAGGAGAAGGTGAGCTAAAGCCAAGCACAGCATCCATCTCTCTGCTTCCACGTGCCCAGTTAGGTCTCAAACCTGGTACAAATGCCTGAGAAGCCTATTTAACATATCAAAGCAAACACTGGCCAGCAGGTTCTCCCACTGACCCTCAGTCCCTACCTGTTACAGGGTTCTCCAGCCTATTACCCTTCCTCCCCCAACATACGCTCTAAACTTCTCCAACCCAGGGCTGGCTGCCCTTTGTCCAGTCACCATTCCCTATATAATCCAATTATTTTGGTTACTTGGTCTTTTTGTCTTCTCTCTTGGCCAGTCTCTCTTGGCTCAGGTTGCCCTTCTTGGTCAGCAGGTGTTCTCCCCTCTCCTCACATGGCTGAGGGTCGTGTACACTCTGGACTCGCCCAGATGTCCCTGCCTCTGGCTGTGCTCTCCCTTTTATCTACAGTAAACTTTCCCCTCCACCATCTCTAAGAGCAGGCACGTCCCTCTCCATTTTATTTCTTCTTTTCATTCATTTACACTCCTGCAGCCACACCTTCTGCCTCATGACAGACCATACCCTCAACCTGTAAATGCAAGCAAATCCTTCCTTCAGTTTATTTATTTATATTTATTTATTAAAGATTTCTGCCTCCTCTCTGCCACTGCCTCCCATTTCCCTCCCCCTCCTCCAATCAAGTCCCCCTCCCTCGTCAGCCCAAAGAGCAATCAGGGTTCCCTGCCCTGTGGGAAGTCCAAGGACCACCCACCTCCATCCAGGTCTAGTAAGGTAAGCATCCAAACTGCCTAGGCTCCCACAAAGCCAGTATGTGCAGTAGGATCAAAAACCCATTGCCATTGTTCTTGAGTTCTCAGTAGTCCTCATTGTCTGCTATGTTCAGCGAGTCCGGTTTTATCCCAGGCTTTTTCAAACCCAGGCCAGCTGGCCTTGGTGAGTTACCGATAGAACATCCCCATTGTCTCAGTGTGTGGGTGCACCCCTCGTGGTCCTGAGTTCCTTGCTCGTGCTCTCTCTCCTTCTGCTCCTGATTTGGACCTTGAGTGAGGTAAGCCAGACCCAAAAAGAGGAACATGGGATGTACTCACTCATATTTGGTTTCTAGCCATAAATAAAGGACATTGAGCCTATAATTCGGGTTCCTAGAGAAGCTAAATAAGGAGAACCCAAAGAAAAACATATAGGCATCCTCCTGAATATTAACCTTCATCAGGTGATGAAAGGAGAGAGACAAAGACCCACATTGGAGCACCGGACGTAAATCTCAAGGTCCAAATCAGGAGCTTCAGTTTATTTTAATCAAGTATCCATGCATCAATGGCTAAAGTAATTAAATAAGCACCAAGCTTCAACATGGTGAGTGAGAGCCCTCTCTGGAAAGTGGTCCAATCTTGTTGGTGACACATCTGCCCTCAGGACCACATCGACTCTCAGGCCTCTATCTCCTAATGCCGTCACATGACGGGCAGAGTGTCAACTATCATGTAAGGGGTACATGGTAGTTTGAATGTGATTGGCTTTATTGAAAGGTGTGGCCTTGTTGAAGGAAGTGCGCCATG